CAGGTTCCCCAGGGCACCTGCCCTTTAAACAGCGTGCACCTGCTGGCTTCTGAATGGGTCTGGCATCCTTATCTCTCTGGTTCAGCAGTTTGGGGGTACCTATGTAGTCTTATTAACATAAATATCTGTGATGACAGAATTACGGCCCTCCAAAGACGTCCACATCCTAATTCCTGGAACCTGTGCCTCTGGTACCTTGCGTGACAAAAGAGACTTTGCAGATGTGATTAAATTAGGGATCTTGCCATGGGGAGGTTATCCGGGATTGTCTGGGTGGACCCCATGTATAGGATCCTTGTAAGAGGGAGGCAGGAGGGTGAAAGTCAAATATAAGAGATGTGATGGTGCAACTAGAGGTTGTAGTGATGCCCTTTGAAGATGGAGGGAGGGGCCATGAGCCAAGGAATGCAGGCAGCCACTAAAAGCTGGACAAGGCAAGGAAATGGATTATCTCCTAAAGCCTCTAGAATGAAAGAAACCCTACCGACAACTTGACTTTAGACTTCTGACCTCCACTAAGGGAATAAATTTGCATTGTACTAAGCCCCTGGGTTTATGGTAATTAGTTACAGCAGCCATAGGACACTAATCCAGGATCTAAATGTTCTGTCCCGCAAGGCTCCACCTGCTTGACTGTCGGCCTCTGTCTCCCCTCATAAGGCTCTCCCCAGTCGCTCAAGAGAATCCCTGGGGTCCTGTGAGTGCACAGGTATAAGACCAGCTGCTCATGTTGCCCCTTTCTGGAATCCTCATGGAAGCCCACTGCCTGCAAGCCGTAGAAGGAGACCCCACCTTTGCTGCTGTTATGGGTGCCCTTCTCAATGTCTTAGCACCCCTCTCTTGTGGGGCATGCCAGGTGCTGATGCTGACTTTTCATCCTGTCACTTTCTGTCACTTGGACCTGAAAGCAGCACTGCTCATTCCCCAGTCACATTAAGACGTTCGTGAGCAGGACTCCGTGCTGCTGTACCCTCTGGCCTGCACCCACCTTCCTTTGTGGGCAGGCTGGGTGGGGTGAGGTGAGCAGTTATTATTTTCTTTTATTCTTTTAAATTATCTTGTCTATCTGTCTGAGCCTTGCACCCAAACACTTTCTGTCTAATCTAAAAACCAGAGCCTGCATATCAAATCACACAAAGTGACATTAGGGGCCAGGGTGGTGGTGATGGGGAGCATGGTGTGTGCCCCTAGTCAACCCAACTCTGGCCCCCCTAAGACACAAGTTATCTTAACGGAGGTCCAAAATGTTTCTTCCCTTCTCAAGGATTCATTCTCTGAGTCCGTTCTTTCATTCTCTTCTTTCTTTCGGCTTCTTTTTACTCTAGGGCATTGCTCTTAATGATGTCCCTATTTGGAGCATCTTGCAGCCTCGCTTAGTAACTATCATTTCTCATGTTATCTCCTTAAATAAAGGGACTTGGAGGAAGTAGGGCCTCTATGGGGGTGCCGAAAGAATAATGATAATGCTAGCCGCAGGAATAAACTTTAAAATTTCAGTGGCTTAATAACCCATAATAGTTTATTCCTTGTTTACTTAAAGTCCAAAATGAGTGTTCCTAGTAGGTGGGTGGCCTTCCTTATGGTCATGGTCATTCAGGGAACTGGGATCTTTTTATTGTGGCTCTGCTCTCAAGCTCTTAGAATCCTGTGCTTTCATCTGGTGGATGGGAAAAGACAATGGGACAGGAATTCTCCCACCTTAAAGTGCATACAAATCACCTGGGAAACTTGATAAAATGTAGATTCAGATTCGGTAGGCCTGGGGTGGGACCTGAGATTCTGTATTTCTTACAAGGTCCCAGGTGATGCTGAGGCTGCTGGTCCAAGGATCTTCCTTTGAGAGACAGAACAAAGGTGAATGGAGCCGTGGGGGTCAGAGGAGGGTGGAGGGTGGAGGGTTGCAGCCTTTATGGACCAAGCCTGGAAGTGGCACACTTCCTACTCAGGCCCCATTGGCTAGAACCCAGTTGCATGGCCCCACCAAACTGTAAAGATTGGCTGGGGAAGGTAGTCCAGCTATGTGCCCAGCACAAAGAGGACAGGTTTGTTAATCGACCAGCAATTTCTGCTACACAGAGAGTCGATGGAGGGTCATGCACTTTCACCAGCTCTGCCTGGAAATGGCAGCATCCTCTGTTAACAGTCAATGGAGGCAGCGAGATGGAGGGTGTCCCTAGACTTGCTGGAGTGGGTGGATGTTACCTGGCTCTACCTCCTCAGTGAGTCTGCTCCCTACTGGAGCTAGGATATAAACAAGTGGGAACCTGAGCTCGTGGAAGGGAACCTTCTTGACTCCCTTTGCCGTGGACGGTAAGTAGCCTGGTGTGAACTGGCTGGAAATCAGGAGCTGACATGTCCACAGGACATCATGGGATTCTGAGTGGAGAGAGCCAGGCATCACTTGCTTCTTACCTTCCCTTCCCGGAGGTGTGTTACTCCTCTGTGGCAGGGGCACTCACCTGCCTTTGTGGGGTTTGTGGGTCATCACTTGTCTCTCCAAGGGAAACCTTCTGGAACCTCGCGGGATGTAGGTCATGGATGCTGGCTCAGTCTTCTCTCTGTACCTCAGTTTCCCTCCTGCAGTGGTTCCTTCCTTGCTGTCTCACTGGCAGGTTGTGATGGTTACAGATGACACCTGACAAGGGACATCTCTCCACTTACCCTGTGTTACTGCCAGCCCATAAACTAGGAAACTTTATTCTCCTGGAAACACGAAGGAAGATTCCCCTTTGCGCTGCTTTCTGTGGCCCCTACCCCAGGGGGTGGGTGAGTTTTCTGATTGGTGGGATGGTGAAAGTCTGACAGCCATTGGTTCATGTTTCTCTTTGTCACCTGGCTTCTTGTTGGCTCATTTTTGGGATGAGCCCCTCCTTATGGCCCTAACTGGTCATCCCTTGAGAACAGCTGTGGCCCTCTAGGGTGGAGTTGGAAGGAGGGAGCCCATGATCTTCCAGCTGCTCCACATGCTGGTTCAGAGAAGAAAATGTAGAGAGCCTAATTTGGCCTCAAGTTCAAGTTCTTTTCTCTAATCCAGCTTCCTGAATAATAAAGTGGAGATTTTGAGCTCTCTCTCCTGTTGTCTATTTTTAAATTTGTTTGGAACCCAAGGGAGATGGGCTGTGAATCACTGGTACCCTCCAGAACGCAAGCAAAATACAGATTTCCCAGGACTGATGAACTGGCAGCTGTTAGTCTGTTTGGTATTAGGGTGAAAGAATGAGGCTACTTATAGCTGTTGAACTGGCTCATCTAAGCAGTCTTAAGGTTTCATTCTGAATTGAAGGTTTTAGTGGTTAAGATAAGATTTCACAGTAACAGTGGTTTTCTCGGTGGGAATATTCATCCCAGAACCACCTGAATTTACCTACTGTGTTTTATGATGCAATTTATTTCATAAAATCATAAGACTCTAGGTCACAGAGTTCGGCTCTCACAGTTGATTGTGAAATTTCCTTAGACATCTCCTCAATTCGTCCAGCCTGTTTAGTCACCTACAGTAATGAGGAACTCACTTTGTCACCGGGCAGTCAATCCCATCAGCTCTACTTGTTAGAATGTCCTTTGAACTGAAATGTGCCTCCTGGTGGTTTCCTTCCTAAGTATGCTCTCTTGGGCACCTTTATCAGATAGCTATTGCCACAATAAGGCTGCCTCCCAACCCAAGAGGAAACTCAGTGCTAAACGACAGTCAACATTTACTCTCACTCATGGGTCTGAGCATCGGTTGTGGGTTGGCTTGATCTGTGTTGGGCTTGTTGGCCTTGTGGCTGTGCTTCTAGCTGCCTGGGTGGCATGGCTTGGTTCTTCTCTATCGGTTGAGCTCAGTTCTCCTCTACATGTGACTATTCTCAATCCTAAGCTGAAAGGGGCAGCAGCCACCTGGGGCGCATTCTTCTCATGAAAGGGGGCAGTAGAGCAAGAGGGCAAGCCCAGCGAGGCAAGCACGTTACAAGCCTCTTCTTGTGTCATTCTGTTAACATCCTGTTGACCAAAGCAAGTGCAGCCCAAGGTCAAGGGATGAGGACATACCCTCTGCCTCTTCTTGTAGGAGCCGCGAAGCCAGAGGCCAAGGACACGGATCCAGGGAGGGATGAAGAACTGGAAACAACCATTAAATCTGTCAAAGCAGCTCCACAGAGGCTAACTTCCTTTCTAGGAGACAGCATTTTCAGTGCTTGAAAATCAGAGTCATGTTTTCTGCAAATAGTAGTAAGAGCATAAACTTTGAGGTTGGAGAGCATCTGAGTCTCTTCCTTCCCTGTCTGAGTGGCCCAGGGAGAGTCACTCAATCTTTAAATAAAATGAAAATCCTCTATCTCCCAGGGTCATGCTGAAGATTAAATTGAATAATATATAAATAAGATACTTAGCATCACACAGCTCTTCTTTACGTGCTTAGCAAATATTACTTCCCCTCCATTCCAGGCTCAACACCTTCCAGTTGGTTCTTACATTTCTTCAGGGTCTTCTTTGTGTATTTGAACATACTCTACTTTTTATATGTCCTCCTCTGATATATTCCCTGTACTGAATACAAGGCTCCAGGTGGAATATGTTGGAACGACACCTCCGGTATTGTAGAGTTTCTGCTTCCATTGAGACAACCCAAGCTTGAATGAGGTTATATTTCACCTCATTTCACCCGTGGAGGTTGCAATTCACTACATTTCTGGGTTTTTATTCCATGCTTCCTTCAGGAGCTGCTAGATGTAACGTTGTTTCTGTAAATATTTATAGACTATTTCTACTTTGTAGAAATACTTCATACATGTTACCCTCTCTTAATTCTAAAAACTGCCTTGTTGAGTAGGATTTTTTATTCCCAGTTACAGAAGAGTGTGCTCAGCTTGAGAGAGGAGATGTGGCTTCCTCAGGATCAACCAGATCCTTTAGAGTGGCTTGATTTCTGGCCACCGTGTTTATGAGTGTGACTGATTCTCTGAAGGATTTTCTTTTTGTCTCCTTGTCTCTACTTCCCACCCCCTTTTATGGGTCTCCAGGATCCTTCATGATGGTGAACAGCTCAGGGAGGGCCTCTGGCCAGAAGGCCCACCTTCTCCTGCCGACCCTGAAGGAGAATGACACCCACTGCATCGATTTCCATTACTACTTCTCCAGCCGCGACAGGTCCAGCCCGGGGGCCTTGAATGTGTATGTGAAGGTGAACGGCGGGCCCCAGGGGAACCCTGTCTGGAATGTGTCCGGGGTCGTCACCGAGGGCTGGGTGAAGGCAGAGCTTGCCATCAGCACCTTCTGGCCACATTTCTACCAGGTATGGTGTTTTACCAGAGTTTGATTTTTCAAAAAGTAATAATATATCTACATACCTCTTGCCCTGCCTAGAGTTTAGAGTTTAGGTTCAGAAAGGGCTTCATTTACTCACTCACTTGTCCAACTCATGTTTACTGAGCTTCATCTCTCTCCAGGCCCTGCAGATGCAGAGGCGATCCAACACATCCCTGCCTCCCTGGAGATCATGGTCTGGAGACTGATATATAAATAAACAATTGCAGTACAATAGGATGCATGTGGGCTCCCCAAGGAAAATAAACATTGAAGCCTTTTGTAAAATAATTGCTTACAACAAGCTGATGAGGCAGATGCTATTGTTATCCCTATTTTACAGATGAAAAATTGAGGTTCAGATAGATGAGATAATTAGTCAAAGATTACCCCTTGGGAAGAGGGTGTTGGAGGTCAAGGCAATTAGGATGGCCTCTAAGAGGAGATGACAGCTAGGCTGAGTTTTGAAGGATGAATAAATAATTATTGAAAAAGGAAGGGAAAGGCATTGGAGTTGTCAGGGTCATGCCATGGGCTGGGGGAGTGAGTGAGAGATTTTGGCAGAGTTTGGAGACTCTGAGTTCTTTAAGGGTAGGTTGCAAAGGAGACATTTTGGGAGCTAAGTATGCAGGGGCAAGTAGGTCATGGGGTCTTCAGATGCCAGGCTAAGGAGATTAAATTTAGTCTAGAGTAGTGCTACTCAAACCATCTGTGATGGAAGACCATTTTGTCCCCCTCAACTCATTGTGGACCGATACTTTCATAAACTGGAATAAAAATGTCACAGCAATGCCAAATTGCTCTAACAGTTTCTAAACACCTCTCATCTCATTGTGGACTGATACCATGCATGGCATAGGCTGCCACGAGCCCACGGAGCACACTTGGAAGAGCACAGCTCCAGATCGTCTGGGCCTGGGATTGTTGAAAGTTTTTTTTTTAAACAATGTTATGAAGGTTAATTTACATATCATAGAATCCATTTATTTTCAGTATGCAATCCAGTGATTTTTAATAAGTCTACTGAATTGTGCAATCATCACCGTAAACCAGCTTTACAACATTTTCATCATCTCAATAAGATCCCTTGTGCCTATTTGCAGTTAATTCCCATGCCCAATGTTGGAGGGTTTAAGTAGGAAAGTGACATAGTCAGATCTGCATTTTGGAGAAATTTCTCTACAGTCTGAAGCAGAAGCTGGACCTGAGGGTGCCGAGTTACTGGCCGGAAGATTCTTAGACATCCTTCAGTTCAACGTCCATGGTACAGTTCTTTCAGATGTACTGTGAAAGCAGCCACAGACAATATGTAATGAATGGATGTGGCTGCGTTCCAATAAAACTTTACATACAAAAACAGGTGGCAGACCAGATTTGGCCTCTAGGTGATAGTTTGCTGTTCCCTGATGTAGATGATAAAGCTGAGGTCCAGAGATGGACAATGAAGTCCAAGAGCACAGAGCAAATCATTGGCAAAGTTGGGACCAGAACCCCAATGTCCCAGCCCCAAAACTCTCCTCCTGTATCACTGAGTATCAATATTAAGTGGTGTAAGCCCACGGTTACCCCAAGGAGGCCTTAGGGTTCCAATTAGAAACCCCCTATCTTTAGTCCAACACAAATGGGTACAGGATGGGGTCACGGGTGCAAGTATAATGAGCAGGAAAAGTGGCCCAGGAGAGGGCCAGTCCTGCTATTGGCCATGCTCTTTGATGGAGTATAGAGGGAAGAGAAGGACATTTCTTGGGTATCCCCAGTGTCCCAGTGTGCTAAGCATATTGCCTCTCATTTGATTATACAGTATAACTCCCATGTTGGGTAGCAATGTGTCCTGTGATCTTGAGTAAGGGAAATTATTGGTAAATTGAGGTCCCCATAATCCTGCCTAGGTCCTTTGGCTCCAAGCTCAGTTTCCTGCCTTTAGGGAAAAAAGCTTTCCCATTCTGAGAATCTTCCACTTATTAGCTGTGTAATGTTGGATGCATCCATCATCATTCTGAGCCATAGTACTCTCATTTGTAAAATGGAGAGGGTAATAGGTTCAATGAAAGGTTCTTCTGTGGATTAAATGAGAGCATATATATGACATCATGTAAACCTTGCAGTGGGCCTCAGCAATTGTTGGAAGGAAGGGAGGAGGAAGAAAGGAAAAAACAGAAAAAGAAGGAGGAGCAGGGAGGCCTTCTTTAAAGAAACACCCCTGCGGCTGAGCTGTCCCTGCTAACCTCTGAGCTGGCCTTGTGATAAGCAGCCTCTTCTGGGAGAGTTTTCTGATTTCCAACTTGTTGGCTATTACAGCATCATTACCTTACATTACATTTCCCCTGCTCTGAGCTTCATGGTGAAAAAGCCACTAATGTGCTAAGAGCAGCAGTTTAGAAAAGACACATGTGTCTCTCTGTCACACACACAGCCACTAATGGGTAGTCCCATGGCCACACACACAGTGGAGCACACACAGGTGTACATGCACCTGCATGCTCCCAGACCCACCACACACTCAGGGGCACCCACACCCCCATCCACATACATCTGGGGGAGAGAGAAGGGGACAGACATATCAGGAGATTCAAAGACACTTGCAAAATGGATTTTAAAATTCACCATACCCCAAGCTCTGGTCCTGCATGTATGATTCTGTGGACTAAATACAATTTTTGGTGTTCAGCAGTCTGGGCTTCCGATCCTGGCGCCTTATGTATTCATTTATTAAAGTCATATTTCACAGTCCTAAAATTGACTTTTAGCTCTCTAATAAGCAGGGAAATTTCATCTTTCTTAAGTGGACTTTCTGCAGCAGGCCTTCAGCAGGGACTGGTGTGGGGAACGTCCCCCTGCGTCCACCCCACCCCTGCCTCCTCTCAGGAGGGCAGGGGCCTGTCAAATGACGTTAAGCTGTGCTTCAGCTCGCTGCCCTTTTCCAGGTGGTATGAATTCTATTTCATGTTTTTAGTGGTTCTGAAGTTTTCTGTCCCAAGATTTAAAAAAATAAAAGAACTTTTATTAATTTTGCAGCCACATGCTCACTCTGTGCTGCATTATCTGCCTCGGTGAAATGACCTTTCATTCAGCATTTGTAAGTGCTGTGTTGACCCCTGAAGTTTAGGACTCCCCTGACTTGGCCTCACCTGGACTTGAAGCCCCGTCCCCTTCTCAGCAGTCCCTCTGCCATCAGACACTCTGTAGGTTTCGTAACTTCATGCATAATTCAAGAGGGCGCATCACAGGAAGCCGGCCACTCTCCCGCACTTGGAACTCAATCTTATTTCCTCTCTCGTCTACCCACCCCTCTCTCTAAGCAGCAAACCCTCCTCCTTGTCTTATTCAGCCTCCTTGGGCTGGTGTGGGAAAGAGTTTCTCTCTTGATCTCACCCTAAGCCATCCTTTCCCATGAAAAACGTCGGTCGTCCTCTTCCTACGAAGAGTTTTGGTGAGCCAACAATTCTCTATCTCTTATCTTTTGAGAAAATGTCTGCAGCCCCTTGAAATTTGTGCTGTACAGATTCTCTGCTCAGGGACCCCAGAAGGCGAGGGTAAGATGCCAGCTCCCATAAGCCATGTCCTGACAGATCCACATTCTCCCCCAACCGTGCACACCACCTGCTTTTTGGAGGAGTTGAGGGTGACTCATCTCTGAGCTTCTCTTGGGAAATTACTTCCTGGCTTTGCCCAGCAAGTCATGCACAGGGAGAGGTTTGTGCCTTTCCGTGCAGGCCTCATCCCCGGACACCAGGAGGTCCCTAGGGTTCTAGGGGCTGTGACGTGCAGTTCACGGGACGTCCACTTGGCAGAACGTCCTGCAGAGAAGTTGGGATTCCCAGTCTAGACCTTCTGCTCCAGTCCCTGCCCCCCAGGGCCCCTGCCTCTATACACTGACATGGAGCCTCCCTGGGTGTTGGCATGGCCTACTTCTGCCCCCGCTACCTTGCCCGCCCTGCCCCCTGTAAACAGACAGTGCTGGAGTGGCCTACGTTATTCTTTACCCATTCCTCTGGCTGTTTTCCTATTCCTGAATTTCATTCCTCAAGGGCCTTGATTTGAGTTTCCTTGTGAGTATGCTTCACTTGAAAATGACCATTTTCCCTCTCCTCATCACACCTGGGTATGTCCTTCTATCACAGAGGGTCCTGGTGTCAACTTGTCCCCTTGTGGTGTCTTTCCTGAGGAACTGGAGCTGGCTAGGTACTGGCTGGGGTCTTCCTGACCAGGGCTCCCACACCAGAAGCCCATTGATGGGGTGCTCATCACCACCCGAGGCTGCAGATGTCTTCAGGGGCATGTGAAGAGAGGACTCCGATGATCCACATTCCCCAGAACTTTGGTGGCCTGGAGCCTGGCCCAGGGGTGGAGCCGCAGCTCTTTGCCCGCCTTTCCTGAACCACACAAGACGGAGCTCTACTCTGCAATTCTGTTTGTTCGAGAGGGCTCTGTTCTTTTTCATCAACAGTGAGAATTCAGGCGGACCCCCACATCTCTCCAGATGTCTGCACATCACTGCTGGTGTTGCTTCCCAATGAGCTGCCCCTGCAGTATCTTGCTGCAATCAAACCTTCTTACTCTGATCGGGTTCCCTTGCACCCCGCCCTATGGCTTCTTGCAACAACTCCTCAAGGCCTAACTGGCATTTGGAGGTCCTATCACTTGGTCAGAAACTTGAGCCATGAACCCCAGCAGTAATTTGCATCCCCAGATTCCCATGCGGAACTGTTAAGCACGCAATGTGGCTAAGGAGGCCTTTAGAGGTTTGGGGCTATATGTGATCTCTAGAGGCTGACCCTGCCCACTTTCTCCTAGTACCCAGTGCTTCTCTGCAGCTGAGGCCTGCCATCCCGTAATATTTTGGTGGCACCTTCCAGCCACCATTTGAGATCTCCCTCTCTGGTGCCTGGCGTTGTGCTCCCCAGGGTTGGTCCTTGTTTCTGGAAACAGTCAGCTGGCCCAGGAACTTGGGCCAGCCCCACTGTGAGAGCTCAGTGTTAGGGGACCTGC